CCCAGAACCAGTAAATTATGGCCTGGGAAGAGAAGGAAGTCATTTTCTATTGCACAGAGATACTATGCCGTCATTAAGCTCCCCCTGCAGTCTTGGTGGGATGGAATGATGCGTAAGAGACTCCTTGAAGAGGTATCAGTGTAATCCTTAGCTATCATCATTATTGGAACAGAACAAAAATAATATAACTTCTGCCTTTGGGCAGTTTACTTGCTTGTCAAAACAGGAAAAACAATAAAGAATATATGGAATGCATCCCAGCAGCAAGGACACTTACAGTGGTATAATGTGTAATTAGAGTGTAGGGGCTGTGTTGTTCTTTGTTTTGTTTTGGAGACAGTGCCTCATTGTGTAGCCCCAGCTGGCCTCATGCTCAGGCAGTCCTCCTGCCTCAGCCTCTGAAGTGCTGGGATTATAGGCATATACCATCACACATGGCAAGAGCTTAGATTTTTCAAGGCAGACAGACTTGAGGTTTAATCCAGACCCAGAATGTGAAGACAGTATGATTTTTTTTTTTTGATAGTATGATCTTAATTCCTATCTGACTATCCTGTCCTCTCTGAGCTCAGTGTATAATAAACTTTCAGAACTGTGAAGGGGAACAGGGAAATAGCGTGAATAATACAGTGCCAGACATAGGAAAGTTCTCAAAAACTGGTGGTTACTTCTTATCTGAGCATCTTTTTCTCTCCAACAGTGTCCCAATACTGTTTTCATTTTCCTAACCAGAGAGAAACTGCAGAAATATGGGGTATGCATCCGGGTCCTGGGAGATCTGCACTTACTGCCCTTGGACCTCCAGGAATTGATTGCGCAAGCTGTACGAGCCACTAAGAACTACAATAAGTAAGTCTCCAGACTTCCCTCTATCAATCTTTGACTCCTTACTAGTTTTAGGGAACCATTCTGGGGCCGGGGAGATGGCTCAGTAGAATAAGCGCTTCCCTGGCAAGCGCAAGGGCCTGAGTTCAATCCCCAGTTCTGCAAAAAAAAAAGGGAACCATTCTGAATTTTCCTTGTCCTGCATTTTGTATAATGGGCATTGAGGATGTTGTTTGGTTTATTTTTGGTGCCAGGAATCGAACTTAGGATCTTGAGCTATCCAGGTCAGCACTTAGAGGATGTTGTTTGGGATGCTTATAGACTTCCTCCTTTTTACAGGGCAGATTAGAGCTCTTGCACTACCATGTTATATCTGTGTTTATTCAAATATAGACACACTTTCTTGCCAAGCCTAGTGGTGCACACTTGTAATCCCAGTACTTGGTAGGCTAAGGCTGGGGGGGTCACCGTGAATTAGAGCCGCCCAGGTTGGAATACATAGTTCAAGGCCAGCCCAAACTACATAGTGAGATGCTGTCTTATAAAAACAAAACAGAAATATAGACACACTTTCTCATCTTTTCCCACCCCATCCCAAAGTTGTATACACATACATTCATATTTTTTTAAACTTGACAAAGGTTCAGATGGAAATGTTGTAGCCATCTTGGGTTTTTTTGTTTGGTTTTGTTTTTGTTGGAACCAGGGATTGAACTCAGGCCCTTGCGCTTGCCAGGCAAGCGCTTATTCTACTGAGCTATCTCCCCAGCCATCTTGGGTTTTTTGAAAACATTCCTCTGTGAAATTATTTTTCTACTACTCTACCCTTTTAACCCACAGGACACCATGGCTGTGGAAGATTACACAAATGCAGAAAGGAATGGAATTCAGTAATCCTTGTTTTTTTTGTATTTTAGGAAAGGGTCTACAGGGTATTCAGGGTCTCACTACTAGATCAGACGCATAGTGATCTGCCTGTGAACAGTCTCCGAAGAGCTGGGATTACAAGCGTGCGTCACCATGCCCAGTCTCAAGTGCACCCTGGGGGCGGGGCCAGCACGGCAGAGTAATCCAAATTTGACTGTATGTAGCATTAAAATATAATATGTGCTTGACCTTGAATTGGTTTTATTCAGGCCTCCTTTGTGCGTGCTGGCTTCACAGCGGACTCACATCCTCTGTAAACTGGTTAACACTAGAAGGGGAGTGGCAGACAAGGACCAGGAAGACAAGGAAACCTGTTTAGTACAGTATTTGTCACACTATAAAATTAATAGCACGTTTCTTTCAAAAAATCTTAAAAATAACAAGAAATCCATAATATCATCTTTTATTTTTTTATTTTATTTATTTATTTTTTAAATTTTATTTGTGTGTGTGTGTGTGTGTGTGTGTGTGTGTGGCCAACTCAGCCCACCAGGGGGCGGGCTGGCTGGCATGTGGTGCTGGGGGATTGAACCGCGGTCCCTGTGCTTTGCCGAGCTTGTTCTAAGTAGGTGCTTTAGACCACTGAGCCATCTCACCAGCCCATTTATTTATTTTTTTAATCTCATCTTTTAGAAATATAAACAGTTAACATTTAGTGTGTGCATCCTTCCAGGAAGGGACTGCTCTGTAATCAAGGACTCTGGTCTTCGGTCCCCATGCCTCTTCGATAAATCGTTCCATTCTTCCCTCTCAGGTGTTTCCTGAATGTGTGCTTTGCGTACACATCCCGTCATGAGATCACCAATGCTGTGAGAGAGATGGCCTGGGGAGTGGAGCAAGGCCTGTTGGATCCAAGGTATTCTGAGTTGTTTCTTTTTTTTTTGTTGTTGGAACCAGGGATTGAACTCAGGCCTTTGCGTTTGCCAGGGAAGTACTTATTCCACTGAGCCATCTCCTGGGCCCCTCTGAGTTGTTTCCTATGGTAATTGATAGGGGAAGAGTTGTACAGCAAACCATAGCACCCCACCTCATGCCAAGCACAAAGATGACTTTTCTTAGGGCTGCGTTTTGTTGCTGAGAGATTTATTTATGTATCTGGTACAGGGTTTTGTTACAGAGCTCAGATTTGTAGATTCATGATCCTCCTGTCTCAGCCTACCCAGTGCTGGGATTACAGATGTGCGCCACCATGCCCAGTTTCAGTGGCCAGCTCAGCACAGGCTAGCATGTGGTACTGGGGATCTTGCACTTGCCAGGCAGGCTGAGCTCTCTCCCTGGCCCGTGGGAGACACTTATAGATATATCATATTTTCAGGTATGGTGGTCCATGCTTGTAATCCTACATTTGAGAAGTTGAGGCAGGAAGATCATTGAGAGTTTGAGACCAGCCTGGGCTACAAAGTGAGTTCAAAGCCAGCCTGAACTGTGTAGTGAGACCCTGTCTCAAAAAGAAAAACAAAAAATCATGTTATAGTTTCACAAAAGATTTAGGTATTTTTTAGGAGCTAGGGATATAGCTCAGCAGTTACATTGACTGCCTTGCAAGTGCAAGGTCCTGAGTTTTATTCCTACCACACACACAAAAAAGACTAAAGTATTTTTCAAAAAAGGGGGGGGGGATTATTTATTTATTTATTTATTTTGGCAGAACTGGGGATTGAACTCAGGCCCTTGCACTTGCCAGAAGCACTTACTCAACTGAGCTATCTCCTGGGCCCCAAAGAAAAATTTTAGTCATTACCAGTAAAGTGGAACCCTAATAGTTAAAACTGGGAGGCAATGTATCTGTTTTGCCCTTTTATGTTATTACTAGTGTAACCTTTAGTAATAATACTAGTAAATTAATAATAGCAATCATAAAATAATGAGCAAAAAATAACCTAGGCACTGTTTGATGTTCTGTATTTTATTGAGTCATTTTTGTATGAGAGATTGAAGTCTTTTGTCCATTTTATAGATGAGAAAACTGAGCGCACTTAATAACTTACCCAAGATCTTCACTAGTAACTGCCATTGTGGGGCTCATTATTTAAAGATGTGTGATTCCAGAATTCTTCTTTTTTATCTCTGTTATGTGAGATCTGATTTCTTCTTTCTTTCTCTCTCTCTCTCCCTCTCTCTCTGTTTGCATATGCAAAGCCTGGGTTTGATCTCTAGCACTGCAGAAAAAAAGCACTAAGTTATTTGGTGAAAATGGAAAAGTAAGATAGTCTTAAAGACTTTTTTTTTTTTAATTGTATTTGGTACGGGTCTGCATGGTCTACAGGGTCTCACTATGTAGATTGGACATGTAGTGATTCTCTTGTTTTCAGCCTCTCAAGGACTGAGATTACAGGTGCATGCTACCATGCCCAGTCTCAAATCGCTGTCTCTGTGCGCCCTGGGATTGACCCTCAGCCACTGTGCTCTGCCTAAGCAGGCACTTTAGTCTGCTGGCCAGCCCTTAAAGCTTAAAGACAATTTTTTTTTTTTCGCAGTACCAACGATTGAACTCAGGACCTTGTACTTGTCAGGCACGCATTTATTCTACTGAGCTATCTCCCTGGCCCCCTTAAAGACAATTTTATGAATGTCTTTCCTCTTCCAACGGCTGAGTGATCATTTCTGTCCCATTTAGTTCATCCAGTCAATCATTTATTTATTTATTTATTTTATGTATTTGGTACAGGGTCTCACTATGCGGCTCAGACACATAGTGATCCTCCTGTTTTCAGCCTCCCCTGTGCTGTGATTACCTGTATGGGTCACCATGCCTGGACTCAGTCACCAGCTCAGTCCACCTGGGGTGGAGCTGGTGCAGCATGTGGTACCAGGAATCGAACCCCAGTCCCCTGAGCTAGACTAGACAGACACTTAGTCCACTGAGCTATCTCGCCAGCCCCAGTCAATCATTCTTGCAACAAATATTTTAAAGTACTGTCTATTGGTAGTCACCCTCCTATCCATAAGGTGATACAGTGGTTAGAATACGAATACGTGTTTTCTGCTTCATGGATCTCTGGTAGAAAAAAACATGTTGAAATTATACAAATAGCATAAACCATGCATTGTAGCACATACATGTAATCCCAGCACACAGAAACTTTAGGCAGGAGGATTGAAAATTCAAGGCCAGCATGCACAACTTGTCTTAGATAAAAAAATAAAAAGAGACACAGCTTGGTCATAGAGTGCTTGCCTAGTGTGTCCAAAGGACCTGGATTTGATCCTCAGTACCACTTTAAGAAAAAGCATTGGACCAGGTATGTAGCTTAGAGGCATAAGCACCTGCCTGGCAAGTGTAAAGTCCTGAGTTTGATTTCCAGTACTAAAAAAAAAAAAGAAAAAGCATAAAATTATAATGGTGATAAGAGGCCGGGGAGAGAGCTCAGCAGCATAAATACCTGCCTGGCAAGCACAAGTTCCTGAGTTTGATCCCCAGTGCTGGGGGGGAAAAGAATCTTGTATAATGATAATAAGTACTGTAAAGACGTGGGTGCATGTACAGTAAGAGAAAGGGACCTGTAGGGAAGACTCTCCCCCACCCCCCAGGAATAGGTAAGTGCAGTAACCTAAGCAGGAATTAGGAAATGTAACAAGAATGTGAGGACCTCATTGGTTACAGAAAGACTATTGAATAGTTCAAGTAGAATAGCTGAAAGAAAGCCCTGGATTATGGTGCTGGTGCTACAATGGATAGAACAGAATTGCTTCAGGAACTACGAAGCAGATGAAAGCAAGAGGGCTCAGTGAACGGGGCATGGTGGCACACACTTGTAATCCCAGCGCTTGGAAGGTTGATACAGGAGGATTGCTGTGAGTTCAAGACCAGCATGGGGGCTACAAAAGTGAGCACAAGGCCAGCCCAAACTGCATAGTGAGGGCCGAGGAGATAGCTCAGTGGAAAAAGTGCTTGCCTGGAAAGCACAAGGTTGTGAGTTCAATCCCTGGGTACCACAAACTGCATAGTGAGACCCTGTCTCAAAAAAAAAAAAAAAAAAGCTCAGTGAACTAACAGGGGAAGGATGTATTGAGAGTGACTCCAGTGTTTTTAGGAGTGCTCTTCACTGTGCTTGGGATCCACTCTAAGGAACAGAGCCAGAAGTTAGGTTTTAGATCGCTCCTTTTTTTGTATTTTAGGGAAGGGTGTTCAGGGTTTCACTACTACATTAGACTCATAGTGATCGTAGTGATTGGCCTGTTACAGCCTCCCAAGAGCTAGGATTACAAGTGTGTGCCACCACGCCCAGTCTCAATTGCCCTCTCAGCACGCTCAGGGGGCAGGGCTGGCATGGCAGGCCCAGGGATTGAACTCCCAGCCCCCGTGCCTGTTTGCAGGCACTTTAATCTGCTGAGCTATTTTGCCAGCCCTTAGGTTTTATTTATTTATTTTTTTAAAAAATTTTATTTATTTATTTGTGTGTGTGTGTGTGTGTGTGTGTGTGTGTGGCCAGCTCAGCCCACCAGGGGGCGGGGCTGGCTGGCATGTGGTGCTGGGGGATTGAACCGCGGTCCCTTGATGCTTTGCCAAGCTTGTTCCAAGTAGGTGCCTTAGACCACTGAGCCATCTCACCAGCCCACCCTTAGGTTTTAGATCTCTTGCTGAACAGAAATGTCAGGTCAACCGTTCAAAAGGAGAGGGCTTGGCAAGGAAGACATGAGGACACTAAGGAGAGTTTTTGGGAGAAGAAAGGGTGTAAGATAGAATTTTGAAAAATTGCCTTTACTGGCTAAGTCAAATGGAATGAGCCTTATAGAAATAAAGAGTGAACAATCAGAAAGTTAGAAGACCTGAGAGTCAGTGTTACAGAATCCAGGAGAGGACAGAGTTTGGTACTGGTCCGAGAGAAGCACAGACTGAAGCACGGACATGTGGTAGCAGGAGCCGCATGATATAAACAGATGTGTTACGTTGTCCGAAAATTAGCTGGTGGGGAAAAACTTAGGTTACTGATGAAGGGATTAGGAATGGGGACAATCGGGGAGGTAGAATAGGGGTATATAAGTAAATATAAGTTCTTGGTAATTTTCTAATTTTTAGCTTGGGAGTAATTTCATATTTATTGTATTGTGGTTTATACTATGTTTTAAATAATCTTTTACATGTTTAAATCTATTAAAAAGGAATATGCGTTTGTGGTCAAAGCAAGCATAAACAGGCAAACTCTTTAAGAAGCAGACTTAATCTGCATTCATGTCCAGGACTAGAACTCTGATCTTGATGATAACGCAGCATACTTTACCCTCAGTCCTCAATGTGGTGTCCACTGACCTTCCCTCCTACTTGTCCAGAAGTTTTTCCTTATCCTTCTTCTCTGCCTTGCTTCATTTAATAGCTTGCCTCTGTGGGGTTCTCATGTAGGCAGCGTGTGGGCTGAGCAGGGTTACCAGGGTCAAGAGGCTGATGTCTCAACCCACCATCACCTGCATTTTGATATGCAGCCCAGGATGGGGCCATGAGGCCTGAGGCAGTACTCTATACATCATTCAACTTTAGGCAAGTCTGCATTTATATCAGCCAGTCACTTATTACAGTTAGGCTCCACTTAGTAGCTGAACTTTCCTATTGTGTCAGCACCATTTAGCTCCTTTTGTTTTCTTCCAGGGCATGTTTTTTTCTCTCACAAATTGGTAGATTGTTTTGTGACTTTTAGAGTTACTGAAGCAGTAAGATTGAGTCTTGTTATAAGCAATAAGATTTCACTGTATATATTGAACAGGTCACTTAACAGGTCTCCTGTAGGTGTCTGACTTCCTTATAAAACAGTAGTAACAATAATAACAATAGTGACTTCCAGCATGTATTGACTTTAGGTGAGTCATTTACTAAGAATTCCATATACATTTAATCATTGGACCTTGTGTGGTACTGTTAATACTATTTTTGTCCCCATTTTAAAGATCAAAATATTGAGACAGAGGGAAAGTAACTTGTCTGAGTTCACATAGTTGGTGAACTTAATGCCAAGCTCTGTGTTCTCAGTCATTGTGGTGTACTGATTGTAGCACAGGAAAGTTAAAATTAACAAGAAAGCATCATAACACTGAGAGTTAATAACTAATAGTTATTGGCTCTAATTATTAAGTAGGTGTGGGGCTAAGATTTTATCAGTTATGATTTCATTGCTCATAATAAAGTAAGGATCATAAGTGTGTACTACCAGGTTTGGGGGTTGGAATCCAGAATAGGAACAACACACTATCATGGTGCCTGTGGTTTTTGGCATGCACGTATATGACCTTGGGGAAATTATTTATCTTTTGTGAGCCTCTCTTCTTTTATCTATAAAACAAATATGGGAGTACCTTATACAGTTGTAAAATTTAAAATCATTCCTGAGACTAGGGATGTAGCTTAATGGTAGAGCAATTACCTCGCATGTTTGAGGTCCCAGATTCAGTCCAAGGACTGCAAAAAGCCAAGAAAATTAAATTTTAAAAAATCATTTGGGGGCTGGTGAGATGGCTCAGTGGTCTAAAGCACCTACTTAGAACAAGCTTAGCAAAGCCCAGGGACCACAGTTCAATCCCCCAGCACCACATGCCAGCCAGCCCGCCCCCTGGTGGGCTGAGCTGCGCGCGCACACACACACACACACACAAATAAATAAAATTAAAAAAAAAAAAAAATCATTTGTGAGGGGCCGGGGAGATGGCTCAGTGGAATAAGCGCTCTTCCCTGGCAAGCGCAAGGGCCTGAGTTAAGTCCCCGGTTCTGCCCCCCAAAAAATCATTTGTGAATTTAACAAATGCATTTATAGAGGGTCTTCTCTGCACCAAGTAGTATTGGTGAGTATATTTCATGCTGTTCTGTTGAGATGCGTTATGTGTGATCGTTCGTTCGCCAAAGGAGTAGAGAGACAAATGCTTCTCTTCATCTCTGCTTACTCTAGTGATATCTCAGAGTGTCTGCTAGATAAGTGTCTGTACACCCACCACTCTCCTCATCCTGACATCCTGATACGGACTTCTGGAGAAGTACGGCTGAGCGACTTCTTGCTCTGGCAGGTAGGTGCTTTCGAAAACATTGTGATGTTTTGTCAGGCTGAACACTGCTGGCTGTACCCACAAAGTGGTTCATCCCAGCTCTCAACTATGCTGAAACCAAAGAACTTGGGGCAAGGGGCTAAAATCTGGAGATAACAATTGTTTTCCCTCCCTGTAATCCCAGCACTTGGGAAGCTGAAGCAAGAGGATAATTACAAATTTAAGATGAGCACAAGCTACCTAGTGAATTCAAGGACAGCCTGAGCTGAATAGCGAGACTCTGACTCAAAAAGACAAAAAAAAAAAAAAAAAATTACAGGACATCAAACTTAGAGTTTAAATCAAAGCTCTCCAACCATGGTGCCAACTACCATAGCACATCAGGGCTGGATCCTTCCTTCCAGTTACTAGCCTCTCATTCAGAAAAAGGACTGCTATTTATGTATGGCATATCAGAGAACTAAATTACTTGTACAACCTCAGGGGCTTGCTCTTAGCTCAGTTACGCCAGGGTAGGTTGTCTCTATAAGTTCATACTTAATGAAGTTTGGTTTTGCTTAAAAATCTCTATATTTCCTGTTTCTCTGACCCCTGGATGACACATGACAGGAGAAATTCCTTATATAAGAAGTTAGCCAGAAGGTAGGCATGGTGGTACATACCCGTAATCCTGTCTCTCAGGAAACTGAGGCAGGAGGATCACTGTGAGCTCAAGGCCAGCCTGCAGTGTGAGAACCTGTCTTAAAAAAAACCGGAAAAACAAAAAGAAGAGCTGTAGCCAGGAATAGTGACTAATTCTGTAATCCTAGCTCTTTGGTTAGCTGAAGCAGGAGGATTGCAAGTCAAGCCCAACCTGGACAATTTAGCAATTTTGTAATACTTTGTCTCAAAATAAAAAAGGTCTGGGACTATAGCTCAGTGCTAACCTCTGGATTCTTTCAGTCTCCAGTGCCAGTAATGAGAAGAAGAGGTTGGTGGGAGACTTACCTTGGAAGTCTTAAGTTTCAATGGACCACAGTTTTAAAAACGAACTAATAGTTAGCAACTGAAGATACTTTCAGTTTTGGCTGCATTGAAGGAAGTGTGGTATATACCAAGTGGTTCTTTTTTGGGGAGAGGTTTTTTTTTTTTTGTTTTTGAGACTGGGTCTTGCTGTGTTGTTCAGGCTGTCATTGAACTCACTATGTAGCCCAGGCTGGCCTCAAATTTGTAGTGGCTGCTGACTCAGCCTCCTAAGTGCTGGGATTACAGAAGTGCACCACTATACCTGATTGTATTCTGTGGTAATGTGACTCACTCTGCTGCTCAGTTATATTTGGGAAAGTTTACTTTGGACATTAAGGAGACTGTGTCTTGGTTACTTTTCTGTCATTGCTGGGACAAAATACCCAACACCGAAAAGGAAAGAAAGGTTTATTTAGCTCACAGTTAGTGGAGGTTTCAGTCTGTTTGGCTGGCTTGAAGGCAGAGTGGCACATGGCAGAGGGCAGCCGTTCATGACAGTGGGAAAATAGCAAAGGAAGGAGTAGCGGCTGCAGCAGCTAGCAAGCCTCTCTTCCTTATATTGTATTCAGGCTATCTGTTCCAGGGGTGGGCGTAGCACTCACGCCTTAATCCCAGCATTGGGTCATGAATTAATCACAGACTCTAGAAGCCTGCCCCAATGATTGCACGAGGCTGAGGGGACAACTAGGCACAAACCATAACAAACTACATTGGTAAACTAGAGGACTTTCTGGAAAAGGCAACTTAGATAGCAAGGAATCTCATGTCTCAGAAAGAACAGAGACTAGTGATCTGGAAGAAGTTCTTTATTTTATTTATTTATTTGTTTGTTTGTTTTTGAAAGAACCGGGGCTTGAACTCAGACCTTTGCACTTGCCAAGGAAGCACTTATTCCACTAAGCCATCTCCCCGGCCCTGAAATTCTTTTATTTTTTTTATTTTTTATTTTTTTTTTTAAACTTTTCCTGTTCTTTTTTTTATTTTTATTTATTTATTTTTTTAACATTTAATGTGTGTGTGTGTGTGTGTGTGTGTGTGTGTGTGTGTGTGACCAGCTCAGCCCACCAGGGGGCGCGGCTCGCTGGCATGTGGTGCTGGAGGATCGAACCGCGGTCCCTGTGCTTTGCCACGCTTGTTCCAAGTAGGTGCTTTAGACCACTGAGCCATCTCTCCAGCCCCTGAAATTCTTTATTTTAGAAAAAAATACTGAGGTTCCTTCTTTGTGCCATAAATATGGCAGTGACCAAGTCAGAAGCGATCCCTCCAGAGAAAACAAACTGAACAAGTCATTACAACCTTAGGAACAGATAATGGGAATTCTAATCTAGCCTTCAAATATTTGAAAGAATGTCACTTGAAAAAAACTTAACTCAGAAAAAATTCCCTTGCTGGGAATTGTGGGAAGGTGATACTGGTTTAGCACAGCAAGTTCTCTGACAACAAAGATTACCTTCCATGAGGCATTGAGTTCCTTACCACTAATAGTATCCAACAGTGACTATCACTGGTGTCCCAGAGGCTGAGGCTATAACTCAGTTTGCTCATATGAGTGAAGCCCTGAGTTTGATCCCTGGCACTGGCCCAAAAATCATTCCAAAAGGAATCTATGATTATTATTCAGACTCACTCTGCTGTGTTCCACTTTGTGTACATTTGATATTCATAATGCCCTAAAAAGTATTACCCAGTTTATACTTAAGGAAAGTAAGGCCTAAAAAGGTTAAACAACTTACCCCAAGTCAAATAGATGGTAAATTATAGAGCCAGAATTCAGAACTAGGGACTATGGCTCCAGAACCCATAAACTTATCACAGTGCCCTATTGCTGCTACTTAAAAATAACAATAGCAACTACTATTTGTTCATTGCTAACTTTTATCACCTGTGTCTCTCACATGACCTTGAAGGGCCAACAGGCAATAACATAATCCAGATGTTACTTCATAGTCCTAAAATTGGCTCTGAGAAAAGTCCTGGTGGAAATAATGATCTAGTCTCATTTTAGTTTGGATTTTCCACAGACGTGATCGATCTAGCTGCCCCTGGTGACCCCTCCACCATCAGTGAGGGAATCAGGGCTGGCCATAGAAGCACCTGCAGCACAGGATGCCTGTGCTATCTCTTTTCTGTGATTCGTCCTGCTCCATTGGAGAACTGGCCAGCAGTGTGGCCCAGAAACATGTTACTAAACTATATACCTTCTTCCTTCTCTATTTTTCTCAGACCTCTCATTCCTGCCTAGTGTTCCAGCCTATTCTATGGCCAGAATACACATTTTGGAACCTCTGTGAGGCCGTCCTGCAGTACCAGATGAACCACAGCGTGCTTCAGGTAAGAGCTCAAGGGCAACTTGACTGGATGGTATAAAAAAAGAACTTGCTTGGATCATCCACCTTGCTGTATAGCAGGTGCTTCTTGATAAGCATGGTCATGATGACAGGGATGATAGTAGCACCACTTGCAAAGCATTTGCTGTGTGTTGGGGACTGACTGTGTTACTCACAGAGTCTCATTGAATGCAGTCTCATCGAATGCTCCCAAGAACCCAGTGAGTGCTTGGTGTAGTGGCACATAACCTGTAATTCCAGTTCTGGGAAGGTTGAAAACAGGAGGATCATTTTGAGTCCCAAGCTGCTGCATAGTGCAACCCTGTACCAAATACATTAAAAAAAATAATAATAAATTTAAAACAAAGAGGAATGACCAAGTCAAGGACATAAAACCAATGACAGATGAGAGTGTTGCGGGGCATATTGGTGAATGCAGGTAATCCCAGCCCTATGGGAGGCAGAAGTAGAAGGATCATAAGTTCTAGTCCAACCTAAGCAGTTTAGTGACTTAATATGACCCTGTCTCAACCTAAAAAATAAATAAAGCTGGGCAGGGTAACACACACTTGTAATCACAGCAATCAGGAGGTTTAGGCAGGAGGATCCCTGTGAGTTCAGTGTCAGTCTGGGCTACATAGTAAGTTGAAGGCCAGCCTTGACTACAAAGTGATATGCTGTCAAAAAAGAGAAGCGAAAGAGGAAAAAAAAAAAAAGAAAGAAAGAAAAGAAAAATGGGCTAGAGATTAGCTCAATGTGAAGGTTCTGGAATTAATCCCTAGTACCAAAGGGAGGGAAAAAAGGAAAGATGGGAGTATAATCCTTTAATCTGCTAAAGACTCAGAAAAAGCCTTATCAAGGAGATGGTTGTTTTTGTTTTGTTTTGTTAATTTTTTGAGACAGGGTCTCACTTTGTAGTTCAGGCTATCTTGAACTCACTGTGTAGCCCAGAGTGGCTTTAAACTCAAGGCAAATCCTCCTCAGATTCGAGTGCAGGTGTATGCCACCACACTTGGCCTGTTCATTCTTTCTCTTTTCTTTTTATTTTAATTTATTTTCTTGATACAGAGTCTTGCTCTGCAGTTTAGACTTGTAGTGATCCTTCTGTCTTAGCCTTCCCAGTGCTACAATTACAGGCATATGCCACCGCGCCCAGTTCTGGGGCTGGCATGGCATGGATAGGATTCACCTTGTGCTTGCCAGACAGGCACTTATGCCTCTAAGCTATCTCCCTAGTCCTTGTTCTTCTTCTTTTTTTTTTTTTTTTT